TTTATTATTTACGCTCACGATCTGGGAATATATCACGATCGGAACCCAGTCGAGCTGACCGAATATGTGGGAGGTCATTTATAGATTCCTGGAGCAACGGCAGACAATTTAAAATCACATAAATAGCCTTCCTATAAGGTTTTACATTTTTTGTTACTTATTAATTTTATTACGATTATTACTATATAGGAACTTTTCGTTCTTATATTACTACTAAATGGAGCATTTTCAAAGTTTGTAGGTTAAAACTCGAATTTCGCAATAGCATGTGTGACAAATATCGGATTTTATGATTAACATCTTTTTATTAACTTAATTTTCACTAAGCCTCCAAACCCATTAATCATAAAACCTCACCACACCAGATCCATATCCAATCGATTTATTCATCGTCCATGAATTTTATACAGATTTTCCATTTAAGCTAAATTCTTCAATTTTGACAATTTATCCTGCACTGTTTCGTTGCTGAATTAGTCAAAACATACTAATGGTATTTACTCAAATACAACACTACTTACAATAAATCCTAACCCCATGTCACATAGACTCATGACTTCTCAAACATTTGATGCATTTAAAACCGTCCCAGAGGCAGAAAAATAAATTTAACAATCAACTGTTCAATTATCTATATACGGGCAAAGGACACCGGACGCCGACTAACACCCAAATTCGTCCAACGGCGTGTCAACCCAGTTTTTATTTTGACAGAAATCTACATAATAGGAACAACAGCAGAACGGGCTGAAGATGGCACGAGGACTCAACGACAACGTTGATCAAAAATTAGTCTATAAAAGTGCAATTGAATCTTCTAGCAACACGTTTCGATTGGTCAAATAGAAATCTATTAGTTCGAAAAATAAACGCTTTTGCATTTTCCAATTATATTTCGATTATATTAGTTAACTATTGGCAAAACCAGACCAGTTATGTTGACCAAGCTCTACACCCCAAGTCCTCCGTAACAAATGGGACGCGCATCCTCGATGAAAATGGTACCCTCATACTATGCAGTATGGACTGGTAATCCAACAGCTATTGATAATACAGAAAGCACTAGAGTGAATGCAAATTCAGTATGAGGCAGTCAAGGTGGTCATAAAACAGGATAGCCACATACATAATATTTCGAAACAAACCTAGAGAGCGTATAACATAAAAAAACCACTTTAGAATTCCTCGCAAGTCGAGGATGGAAAATATTTACGATGGTAAAATCGCATGCAGGCAACAAAGGGAACGAAAAAGCGGACTTATTTGCGAAAAAGGCTGCAACAAGAAAACTGGAAACATTAGATAAAATCCCAAATGGGAACGATTGGAGAAAAAATTATTACCAGATGGAAACAAAGCATGTACTCTATAAAAGAATTCTTCCCAACAGTTAAAGCTCAAAATTATAAAGTTAAGCAGGTTTTGAGGATCCATTGTAAGATAAACCCTCATCTTCACAGGTTTAATATAATATACAATTAAATGAACAACTGTGATCAGCAAATTCCTCAAATTTCGGACCACATTCAACTGGTGGAAGATTCTAGTAGCAGCTTCATGAGTGGAGTGCTTAAGAAGGGAGGTAGATTCTTCCACAGAAGTTGAAATCGGAAACCACTAGGCAGAATAGACTTCCATAAATTCTTGTAATAGTAATAGCATCATGCCATTGTAAATTAATTAAAAAGTTTAACAAGTTGTATTTGCGCCATTTGAACTTTGGGTCGTGAGTTGTCCAGTGGGTACATTTTGCCAAGAACGGATCAGTTTTGAAGTAATATTCTATGGGTGACCATCGTGCTTGCCCCTTTCAATTTACTATCGAATTGCTTCTGTCTCACTGAATTTAATAGATGACTCTAATGTACCTCCCCTGACCCATATGGCAACTCACCGGAGGAACAACCAATAGGTAAGTTTCATATGGGCGTTGAATTAAACTTTCAAATACAGTCCGCATTTATCCCGACTGTTTATAATACGTGAGCGATACAAAACCCGGGTCGATAAAAGCATGTATTCAAATTGCAAGGATTTTCCAGAAATAAAATACCATCAGGGTTGACCAGTGGGTGAAGAAAGAAAAAACAACCATAAAATTCACTGAGTAGTAACCTACAATTTGGTGATACCCAATCATTTTTGGTTTACCTATCCTTGCCGTTTTGGTCAGTCAGGGTTTCAGTTTCTTACCATCTTCCTGTTTTAACCATTATTAAAAATTGAAGATGGCTAAAAGTAGAAACGCACCTAACAGACCAAAACAGAGAAAATAGTCCGAAATGACCATAAACAACCAAACCACACATTCACACTTGTCAAGCTGTTTCAGAACTTCCATCTTATTATTGGTGCCATTTATGTCAGCCGTGGAAATATATATATATATANTATATATGGTATTTAGTTTAATGACCTTTTATTAATGACGATTTAGAGATCGTGAAATTCGGTCTGGTGTAATGCAGGTTTAGAGTTTAAGAAATAATTTTCTTTATCGTGTCAACGTTTCGATAGTAAAGTACTGTTGCTCTCTGATTGTATTTTTCGGATGATCCAAATTTTTCTAATCCGAAAAGGCTCGGTAGCAGTTGATCTTGTTAATCAAAACTTTACACTGTAGTACGGATGTGTTATCGAGAAACTTTTATCATCACCAAATTTCAAAAAAAAAATTTTACAAAATTCGAATACTGGAAAGTTTTTAAAAACACATGGGTTGACAGAGCGTTTATAATTTACAACAGTTGCAGGAAGGGTCGAAAATGATTTCGTATCTAGCATCCGATACAGCAGTTGTTTCACTCACGGGCAAAAAAACTTCAAAAGACTTGTCTACAATTTGCCAATCCAACCCTCAAAAAATTTCATCCCGAAAAGTTAAAAACAATATATAGGTACAATCCCGGCCCATAAATTTTAAACATAATCCCAAGCATGTGTTTGGAGAAATTCGTAAAGGAAATTTAACACTAGGAATCTTCCAGTCGAGAAGTCTGTTCTTTCTTAGCTATTGTAAATCCTTAAGACCCCGAGACTTCGTTCATTTTTCTTTGAATTATACTGCCCTTATATTCCACTTTAAGCTTTAGCAGGCACGAAACGGACAAGGCCGTTATGCCTCGGCTTCGGTTTTAAACCTGTACTGATAATAAACCCAAACGCCTTTTTTTTTAAATCCCTCTGTGATGAATCGAGGCTGGTGGAACAATATCCAAGCAGTTCAGACAGGCCGAGTGCCCGTCTGAAAGCTGTAACTCATTTCAACAGCGAAGAGTTCTGAGAATTAGACTTTATGGCATCGAAGAGTAACAATAGGTCCCAAGCTAAATAATGTAGCAGCCTCGGAATTCTTCAGCTAATACATTTTGTCGTATCTGACTTACAAAAATGAGCTATAACGTAGAGTCTAGAAATATGCGTTGTGGACAAAAATTACGATATTATCCTTATAAAGTACGACAAAACGTTGTATTCGTACTTTGATGAGAATCCAGAAGTTTTTTCTATCCAAAAAGAAGTACAGACGTGATAGCATGAGAAGATGAAGAGAAAGATTCGACCAGACAAATCTATCTAGTTTATAAAAATGATGAATTTAAACAGTGCCTTTTTATGACTAATCCCAATTTCGTACAAAAGAAACCAGACATCCATTAATTGTACAAATGTTTTAATCCAAAAATTGTTTAGTTAAAATTTTATGTTAATTTAGAGATCGTGGGGAAAAAATAGATAAATTGTTTGGGATTTAGACAATTTCGAATTGTTTGTTCTGTGGAGTGTAATGATTGTTTTATATCCATTTATGTTTTAGTGGACAATTGACCAAGTTACTTATTTCAATTATTCTTTTTATGCAAGGTCTTGGTCGAGATAAAAAATTCGAATCCTGACTGACTGACTTTTTTATCTCAACCAAGATCTTACATAAAAAGAATAATTAATTATTTTATATGTTGTACTAAATGTATGTTATTGGTATTGAATTTAGTTTACGATATTAGCTGCGGCTAAGTTTACATGTGTCAGTTCTGTAATTGATGTTGCGTTGATTTCTGCTGATGTAAAACATTTCTAAAAAGTTACGTTTGTGTTTGTTTTGTTCCGTGTTTAATCGTTTTGGATTGTTGAAATCGAAATTGTGTCGGTGTTCAAAATGGTGGTAGCATATTGTTTGGGTTTTTTGCTATCATAGATATGTTGTTTTACTCTCACATCCTGATATTGGGATGTAATTCCGATGTAGGTTGCCGGACAAATTATACATAATTTATACTTTGAGCCCTGAAGATGATCTCAATAAAGATCGAAACGTTGGCACGAAAAACAAAATGTTTTTCTAAAACCTACGTCACACCAGACCGCATCTCATGATAATCTGGTTTGGGATGTTATTGGGTATGTGATCGTTCATACACTGTATTATACAGTTGCCCTAGGCACCACATACCCAATAACATCCCAAACCAGATTATAATCAAAGTTTGTCGATTATTGAACAACCTCGCATCTCATGATCTCCGAATAACGTTTTATACAATTGATTTTGTAAATTACATCAAACTTATTTTTTACTGGTGTGGGATGTTTAATTTTGGGGGAAAAGGGTGTGAATAGTTATATAGATTTTTATGATATCAGAAGAAAGAAATGTGTTTAATTTGTGTGATAGGCCGTGAACGAATTGAATGGATATGTATGTTGGTTTGGCTGTGTTTGATAGAAATTAATGTAGTGTTATTAGTGATAGTAGATGGAGTTAGTGTTGAGAGGTAGTTGTTAATTATGTGTTTAGGGTAGTGATTGTTAGGTAAGATAAGTTTTCTATATCTTTATGTTCAGCATGAAAAAATTCATAGCTGTGAAGTGGCCTTTTGGCCGTGTTTATTATTATATGAAGCGGATGGTGTGATGTAAAGTTGATGTGTTTCTGATAACGATCTGTGTTTTTTGGCGTTTGATACCAACTGTGATTAATGTACCATCTGGTTGTTTTATTACTAGAAATGGTATTATTTTATTTTCGATGTCTGTGGGAACTGTTGTATTACCATCTACGTATTTAGTGAGGAAGGGTAATGTGAAAAGAATTTGTGGCATAACTGTGTTTGATAGATGTGTCATAATTATGTCTGCAAGTATCGGGCCTAGGTTGACCCCAGGCTATGTCAAATAGTTGTTTGGAAAAATGATAGTTGTAAGTAAAGTATCCGTTATTATCAGTATCGAACTATTGTAAAAATTTTATCTTTCATATTATTTACAATCAAATTGATAAACTATGAGTAATGTGAATGATTTTGTACTTTTAGGAGACAACCACAATATTTTCTTAGTTAAGAAGGGGAAAACAGCAGAAAGTCCATATATCTTCAATTTTGTATAAAATTATATTGGGTGGTTTTTGATGTAATGACCTTTGGCTGAAAACTCACCAAAAATATGCAACTTTTTATTATCTAACAAACTGAATATCAATGAGTGATGTGAATAATTTGCTCTTCTTCGGTGACAACAACTACCATATCTAGTTGAAGTTAAATTGAAACATGTTACACGTTTTTTTTTAGGGGGGGGGGGAGTTTCAGTCAAAAAAACGTTTTTGTTGAGTAGTTCTTGTTGTCCAGTTTCTTTGGCAGAAACCCCCAAAACAAGAAACCTGCAAAATTTTATTATCTATCAAATTTATAATCGATATAATGTAAATTATTTGTTATTTTTAGGCGATAACAACTGCATTATCACGAGAGGAAATTCGAGGGCTGGTGAAAACTCCAGACATCATTTGTACCAACGTCAAATGGTAAAAATTGTGAATCCACTTTTCCTTTGTGGTTTAAACACGTCTGACGGACTAGTTTACGTTTACACTCCTATTTTACAAATGAACCTTTACCCATTTAACATTATTTTTAACGTCAAACCCAAAAAAAAAATCACTCTACACGAAAACAATTCCATTCCACCTAGGATCTAAATCATATGAACAAAAAACATATACTAAGGATACTCTATTTACTAAAAGTACGTTTGTGCAACATATGGTTTGTGACATTCACCTCTGTACATTTGACCTCAGGAGGAGTGGTGCATAGACCGCACCCCTCTACCATTTTTCATGCATGCCTCTCACTAATTACTAAAGCTCTTTGTACCCTCCATGAACTCCTCGGTGTACACAATAGCTACCTCCATTAGCACCCCACTGGCGTCGCCGTCTCACTTTATTATTTTTTTTATTTTTTTTTATTACTCGTAACTTATATTGCGGTCAACAACCTCAGGTTCACCGATTTGTTTACGGGACATTAAATATTCAAATTAGTGAAAATTCCCAAGAAAAGAGGGACTGGAAGATGACAAAAAAAACTGTTAACTATGTAGGATTGAATAAAAGAAATAAATATCAGAAAGAATAGCTCAGATAAAAAAGTAACGATAGCAGCGTAGGAAAAACCGGTTAAAAATAAGGGCAGATCGCCGAGCGATTTGAGATGTCGCTTCGATAGCGAAACTTCTTTTTAATTTATAACCGACGGACGTATCACTCGTCCAAATCCTACTGGAAAATAACTTAGGATTTAACAGAAAAAAAACAATCTTCAAAATAATTGTTACTCTAACACCATTCGAAATTCTACTGATGTTTCTTATTTCAAGTGCTAACCACTTTAACCAAATTTCAGGTTCATCAGTTCATAGATAGAAATCTGAAAACCGAATTATTTTCTCAAGAGTACGGTTTAACAATACACTAGATGACTACATGCATTCCCCGTAAAAAAAAAATACTTTAAGCCTTTAGTCATGCTTCACTTTCAGAATCCTAGACCGTAAAAGGATCTTCCATGATGTTATATGAAATTTCTTCGTTAAACTATGATCCACTCATATTGTACATTTTTATAGGCAATTTGGGGATGTAAATTAAATTGAACAGCAAGCTAATGTAACTTACAACCAACCCTTAGGATTCGGTGGGGTTGAGATGGGAAGTTAGTGTCCGACTGGATCGAAGTCACGATAGCTCAAGTGGTAGAGGAGCGGCAAATCTAGCCGAAGGTCGTGGGTTCGAATCCCGCTCGTGACACTGACTTTTTTATCTCAACTAAAAACCTTAAATTAATTGAAAGATATTAATTGGTCAAGCGGACCACGAAAACTACTCATCTTTACTCCTTTTCGACCAATACTTGAATTTCTTGTCTCCTCACTACTCCTCTCAAATCATCAGTATCGAAACGGTCTAATACCGCCTTCTTAGGTACGGTAACTGTTTTTAAACCACAATTTTGATTGCAAGTATGTTCTCATAATGTCACTTCTGAATATTGATACCCTAGAGACCCCTTGCAAATTATTAAATAACTTGATCGCCTCCTAGGCATCCAAAGTCCTGAACTACTTTCCTATGTATGGCTCAATGTCCCTAAATACAAAACTCGTAATTTATCATTATCCAATATCCTCACTGCTCCACAAACCAATTCCTCTCTTCCATTAAAAGAATTCACCGTACAGTAAATATACTAAATGCAGAGTTATTTAGTGCTAGTATTGTTTATTTTTTTTAAAAAGTTAATTTAAAATGTTTTATTATACTGTAAATTAACGTCCCCCTTTATATATTTTATGTAACGTTATGTAGGTATGTATATTTTTTTCGTCAAGACAACACCTTGATCCAGTATGTTCGTGCATAATTTTATAGTTTTTCTATATGTTACGTATTTTAGTAACTTAAGACTATCAGCCTGTATTTTTAAATAAATAAAAGTTTGCAACTTATACTTTAGGCCACTCAGAAAGGGGACAAAACTTTTTTTTCACGCCATATTAAAAAATTATACAAATATATTCAGATGTGCTTGCATTGTAAAATGCAAATGCTGCATCTTCCAGATTTCGCCAATATTTATTCAATTGTTTATTCGCACATACATTCGATCTTATAAAAGTTGCCGATTTTCCGTTTTCAACAGATTCTCCAACCATATAGGCAACCGTGTGGCGTTGGTTTATTTAATACGAAAGTAATGTTAATTTAAATTGTTACAGGAAATTTTTCATCTTTGCTCTTGTTGCCGTTCTCGCCGTTGGAGCGAAATCGGAACGAGTCAACTTTTGCGACTTTGCAATAAGACTGAAGAATTACGGGTTCAAAAGAAATGATGTGAAAACCTGTACGTTTTTTTTTTCCTTTTTTAAACTGAGTCCCTGTTTTATTTGTTACTCTGTTACTATACTTTTACTATCAAATTTCCAGCATGGTATATCGCAGTGTATGTTGTTGTCAACCGTTTCAAAATAAGCAAATATAATTTAATATTTAGTCGTATAATTCTATTTCAGGGGTTTGCATAGCAGAACAGCAAAGCGGGTTGGAACCAACGAAACGTTATAATTCTATTATGGGATTTACTCCAAAATTCTACGGCATATTCCAGGTACATATTACATTTTATATTACTGTATTGTGAATTATGTAGTTCAATGTTTACTTTCATTTTGGTAGTCAATAGAGCCACCATTGAATATGGTTAGAAGCCGAAACGCTTCTTGCCGACTTAACTAGCGAGGGTGTGAGGAAAAGCGGACCAAAATGGTTGGGAACAACCGAGTTCACCAACTCCGCAGATCCCTTGAAAAAAATTCACAATTTATTTATGTTAAAACTTATTTCATTTTGTTCCTTTAGATATCAGAGAACTTCTGCGGCCACAATACTTGAGGACAACGAGGGTTTTGTGATGTACTTTGTGACCGTAAGTGTCGAGCAGACACATTTTCAAAGAATTATCAACTAGCAATAGTTACCTATTTTCACAGATCTTAGGGAGCAAGAGCTTACTTTGCAAATGGATTGCGCTTATAAGATACACCGACACTATGGATTCTCTCCTTGGTCCTGGGACAAACGAAAATGCAAAAACGTGGAAAGTTGCTTTATGGCTGAAGGACTTCCCCTTTATCCCTTTTGAGAACACAGCGGTCATTGTATTAAACTATGAAGATAAATATATATGATTTTCAAATGACATTTTTTTTAAATCCACTGATAAGTGATGTTGAACGAATGACAAATTGTCTTCGAATATGTGTAAGACGAATGGTCGCAAATCAAACATAAACGTCTAAAATTCATAAAAATTCAATCGAATTTCAACGATGGTTGACAACGCATTTCTGGGTGTAGTCTTAGTAAGTACAGGCATATTGACCTGATGCTACAGTTGCGTAAGAAAGCAACGGCATAGTTTATAGTTGAGGTTCAAAAGTAGCGAATTGGAAAAAAGTTCCGCGGAATAAGAAAAAATGGCGTAGACGGCTGAAGTTGGCAGTACGACTTTACATCATCGTAAAGTGATGTGCTCCTAATAAAATTATATATTATTATAATATATATTATATTATTATATATAGTATTATATTCAGGACGTATTTTACAAGCCGATATTACCAACCTAATCAAAGAGGCCCATGTGAAGCTCCACATTACAATAATAAACCACCGCAACATCCACATGAGACAAACCTCAAATAGACCTCCAGAACCCTCTGCCCAACTTCATAAAAGCAAACGTCCATAACGCTTATTGGAAAGCTAATTTCGACGGAGAAGCATTACTACTTGCTATAAATGAACTGCTAGTTTAAACATAATACAAATATATGTGTATATAATTCTCGCTTGGCACACTAAAGCCGGCCAGTCACGTTCCCTCCAAAAGGAACCGAAATCTGAGGGGGCATTCCCGACCGCTCCGATACAGTATTATAGTGAATTGTGTTACGCTGATGTTTGCATGTACATAAAAAGCAAAATACCTAAGAGAGTGATGTAAGCAGTTGCTCTCGAAAAGAAGTCGTTACACCCGTTGATAGTTTGAATGCAGGGGCTGGCCTATAGTTGACCACGGGTCTAATGGGGATGTCAGTTTTGGTGTTCTGGGATTCATGTTTATTACGTTTTTTTGTATTGTATGTTAAGTAAAACAACACCAAAGCATTCCAAGGCTTAGATGATGTTTAACAACCCGAAACCCACTCAACAAAGCTCCATAATTTTACTATTTTTATAACAAATTAGTCTTTATCTATAAACCACTATATTAATATTTCCTCAGTCAGACAAATTGTCCTAAACCGTGATTTGTTGCATTAAAACAGAACAATAATTTCTTTTTAAACTTTGTAACACTTGATAAATCGATAGATTGTTTTTTGGTTGGTTGTTAGGGGGTTTTTGGTTCTAGTTTTTTTTTCGGGTTACCCCTTCTTTTTTTAGTTGGTTGGTTTGTTGGTTTTTCCTTTTAAGTTCCGGGTTTGTACCCCGGGGCCCTTGCTTTCCACCGGCCTTTTTTTAAATGGGCTTTTTTCAAAAATACCGGCACCCGAGGGTTCATATAACCTCCTAGTTGATATACCCTCCTTAAAAAAATTAAATAAAAATTTTACTCGTCTGGGGACTCGGATTATTTACCTAAACCTAGTCAGTTGAGCCGCAACCAATTTTTTTTACTCCGGCCCACCCTGTTCTTCAAAGTTTTGCCCTGTTGGTGTGTTCTACCTCAATTTTCAACAGTACTTCGCTATGGTAGCTGTTTGGAAATTTGGATCTGAAAACTAGGATTCGGAAACTTTCCTTCTTGAGTCGGCCGGTCAGGCCAGCACGCAGATACCTTTCTTCTTCTCCCTATCGAGACGGTAATAATTTTCATTTTCCCGTATTCCTCTCCTTAAATTTTTTTTTCTTCGCATTTAAGGCCCGCGTCACGCCAGTTCGCAATCATTGAAACAGCACCGCTCCGTTTGGGCGGTTGAAGCGAACTTGAATGGCCGGCTATAAATACCACATTAATTGAGTCATTATTAGAGACTTACTACATATAATTAATGTAAGCTCAAGTATATACATTGTCATAAAAATTAAATTTTGCCATTGTTTATTTGAAAATATTTTTATTTATTTTTAATGTTGTTTCAGAAGCTAGCCCATTTTTTAGTACATCTGAATTCGACGAATACGTCAGTAGGTATAGGTCAGGACTAAGGTTTTTCTTAATCAGGAACGCCTCCCATACTAGAAAATATTATAATAGGAGACGAGTGAAATTTTATTTTTCTAATCAATGCGTTTTGACTTTCCAGCGGATATAACTATGCCATCATATGATGAGGAATGCTACATGATTAAAAATCCGTCTGCATATTCCTATAGACTACGTCTGCTTTTAAAGCTCACTGTGTGCAATGTGTGTTTAACTGTAATTTCAACTGTGGGGCGGCGTTTTACAAAGAAATGTAAAATCGGCTTTTCGCTAGAACGAGCTGTGGACGTGCCGGAGCCGACGGCTCAATGTTAAAACCTCGCTTGTGGGCAAGGGGCTCCTGATGGCAAGGACGACGGTGGCAATTGAAAGGAAAATCCGCCTTTGAAACGAGGCTCTTTATTCACCTTCGACAGGCTCGGCGGTCCATTTACACGATGTGCATAAAAATTCGATCTGGTATAACGGACATGAACAGGAACGGAACTCTTATCGCCGAGTCGGAATGGTTTACAATTTCTCCGATTGATCTGAACTATGCGATCAGCACAACTCAGTCTGGCGGCAGTTTCAAACCAATTGATTATATTCGCGCTTACAGCGGAACGATTCCTTGCCGCACAGGTTCGCACCGGGCAGTTTTCAGTACATGATCGGTTCTGCCATTTCCATGGTTGTCTCGAGTTACCGTCACAAGTCGGAAAATAACTGGACGGGCATCTGGTATCTCGAGTATTATTCCCGATTGTAAACCTATCAAAACGTTAATCCATCAACTTCTGTTCAACCTATTGATGTCAGTTGTCAGACGACACATTCTACTGCCATATATCTTCTATATACCCCAGACTGAATATCAATAATTAAAACACGACTAGTCTGTTCAAATTAATAGTAGTAATTTTTCATCTCGACTAAAAACCTTAATTAATTGTATTAATAGTAGGAAACAATCGATTCCAACTGAATTTCAGATTAAGCCAAACGGTATAACCTATTTGGTCGTTATTCGTATTTGTCCTGCCTATGTTGGTCTATAAGATGTGTTTCCGCATTTCACCATCTCGCTATTAGTATTTTGAGATTTTTTCTTTTATTATCTTCGATATACACTGACGGGCAAAATGATTGATTTTTTTTACATTCTTTTTGTTCAAACCGTCTCCTCGAAAAAAGAAAATTTTGCCCTTTATTTGTTGCATTGTTTTTTAACAATGATATTTGTTCATGATATGTTTTAAATTGGGAATATCAATTAGTGGTAAACACACATAAAGCTTAATCCAAAACAAGGATAAAGGATTTTTCGATGTTTAATTTTTAAGGAATTTAAAACGTTTATTCAGTCTAATTTGAATTATGAAGCAAAAACTGTTTAGTTTTCATCTGTTTTCTTAATTTCAATTTTTATACTTAAAAACTTAGTGCTGCACGGCAGGTATTCGGCCATTGCCATCAAATTTCCCTACGAAACGTTGGACGTTTTCGAGAAACTGGCTCTTACTATAGAAGGCCCGGTTCTGGACGCCCTATGGTAACAGAACCACTGGATGACCGTTTTTTGGCTTTGAGAAGTTTGCGAAACGACACCTTACTGTTGTTCGAGCGATTCATTAGCGACAGGAAGTTCGAGGTGTCTAAATTTCTGAACGCACTGCTCGAAGAAGATTAAAATAGTATGGACTGATGGTTGTACGCCCTGTAAGAGGTCCAAAATTGAAGAGAACAGAGTTGCACGGCTCGCACTTGGTCAAGAACACAGCCATTGGTCTTTGGACGGTAGGTCTGCCGTACCCTTTACAAATTTGCTCACAATCTCCAGATGGGGTTGAAAGAGTGTGGAGAAGGTGAAATGAAAGGTACGAAGCCTGTCATTTTTCCCTGAGCCAACGTAGCTCAGTGATGGTGTGGGCGAAAATTTCAATGGAGAGTCGCACAGAGTTGGTTGTCGTTCGTGGAGGATTTTTGACGGCCACTCGCTACGCGGATGAAATCATGCGTTGCCTATCCTCGATGAAATCAGCGACAATCCAATCATTCCCGTCCACATGTCGCTCGCTCAGTACAAACGTAACTTTAACAGCAAAACATCAGGGGTCTTAGCCTTCTCCCATAGCCCATAGCCTCCTAGAACATTTATGGGATAACCTCAAAAGACGAATAAGCGCATGTTCATCACTTCCCGATACCAATAGAAAAAGTCTCAATTATTAAACGTTAAACTGGTTAATATATAAAAATATATACAAATCAAGTTATATTACAATTGGGTGGAATTTTTTGCCTGTCAGTGTATTAAGATATATTTTTTTTTAAATCAGGGAAATCCATTGAACTGGTCATGTTTGATCGTACTGTACATAAAATCTCATATTCATATATGTTAACCATTTAAATTAATAGTTATGGTTAGTTTGCCAAGATGAAGAGGATATATTTCTCCAACGCTCGTACGACTTTTCTACGTACGTCTTTTCTTTATAATTAGACCTTATCTAGTTTTACAAAAGAAGAGGTAACGTCGACAAATGATTTTTAAAAAACTTGTCGGTGGTAAAAAAAAATCCTAGCCATTTCCGACAGAACAAAGCAAAAATTAAGTAACGATTACTAAACGGGAACTTATCAAAATTTAAATCTGAACATTTTTTAATTGGAATATTTCTGCCAGAACTTGTATTCTATAAAATTCTCTTATCAGCATATAACACCGTGAAATCTTGAATATTTTTAATCAACCGGACAGCGACTGGATTCCTCGTGTCCGTTCCCAGACCGTCTCCCCAGCAAATGCTTACAACTATTTATTTTATGTCCGCCTTTTCAGGTCTGCCAGAGCGAGAAACCGGCTCCGGGAAGCTTAATCTACTGTGTAAGGTCGTTTTTAAATTGAGACAGACGGGAGTTGATTTTTCTACAGTCGAGATACCCGTCCGTCATGGAAAAATTGCATATACGACATTCACGGTGTTTTTCTTCTCTACGAGG